CCGCCCTCTTAGTTCTCTGTATTGGGTTTTGTCTGATGAGACGGTTGGAATGCTAAGGGTCTGGATGATCTGGCGGGCCTAACCCCTCACGAACCCCCACCCTGGGGCTGAGTGCCTGGGGCGGAGGCAGGGAGATCAGGGCTTCCCCTTGGCTGCCTTGTTTGAGCATTTTCAAACTTTTTTTTCTTTTTTCAATTTTTATTTATTTTTGAGAGAGAGAGAGAGAGAGAGAGAGCATGAGCTGGGGAGGGGCAGAGAGAGGTGGGGACAAACGATCTGAAGCGGGCTCTGTGCTTCCATGCTCAATCTGATGCGGGGCTCGAACTCACCAACCATGAGATCATGACCTGAGCTGAAGTTGGACACTTAACCAACTGAGCCACGCAGGCGCCCCTGCCCTGTATGAGCATTTTTAAAGGACTTCTCCCCCGGCCCCCACCTCAGGCTCTCCTGTGCAGCCAGCCCCTGACTTCTTGAGGGTTGGGGGACAGGGACTGGATCCCATGTGCCGAGGCTGGAATCGGGTTCTTGAGGATGCCTCACAAAGGCTTCCAGAATAAAGGGGAGCGTGGTGATGGTGCCACATTTACTGCTGGGGTCCTCCTGGCGAAGGCAGGGGACCGGTGGCTGGGCCTGCAGACCTGAGTGGTGGGCAGTGCGCTGTGAGGTGGTGCCCTGGGACCCCTGGTCTTCGAACTGGGAAGTGAGATTAAGAGAAACGAGGACAAAGGGCCGGGGGGCGGGGGGCCTGCAGACCTGGGGACACTCGAGGCCTCCTGTGAGGTGTAATTGGATCCCTCCGACCTGCCAGACACGGGGCATCTGCGGTCCTGACCCCGGGCCTGTTCCTCCACCTCCCAGGGCCCCGTCCTTTACATAAGGCCCCGGCAGGCTGGGCAGTAGGCCAGGCCCGCGGCCATGGCCTTCACAGACCTGCTGGACCGCCTAGGCGGAGTGGGTCGCTTCCAGCTCATCTACACGGGCCTGCTGCTGCTGCCCTGCAGCCTGCTGGCCTGTCACAACTTCCTGCAGAACTTCACGGCTGCCGTGCCTCGCCACCATTGCCAAGGCCCCGCCAACCACACTGCGGCCGCCACCAACGACTCGGGGGCCTGGCTCAGGGCCGTCGTACCCCTGGACCGCCTGGGGGACCCCGAGCCATGCCGGCGCTTCAAGGAGCCTCAGTGGGCTCTCCTGAGCCCCAACACGTCTGTCCGCGGGGCGGCCACGGAGGGCTGCAGGGACGGCTGGGTCTATGACCGCAGCGTTTTCCCGTCCACTATCGTGATGGAGGTCAGTGGGGGCCGGGGGCGGGGTAGGGGGCTGCTGCCCGAGGCCGAGGCTGGAGCGTCCCTCTCTCCCCTGCAGTGGGATCTGGTGTGTGAGGCCCGCCCCCTCCGCGACCTCGCTCAGTCCATCTACATGGCCGGCGTGCTGGTGGGCGCCATCGTGTTTGGTGGCCTCGCGGACAGGTGAGCCTTTAGGGAGGAGGGTCCCAGCCACCTGAGCCTCTTTGTTAATTTTTCTTTTTTCTGTATTTTTAAAAAATAGTTCTTAATGTTTATTTATTTTTGAGTGAGAGGCCGGGCACGAGTGGAGGAGGGGCAGAGAGAGACACAGAGTCGGAAGCAGGCTCCAGGCTCCGAGCTCTCAGCACAGAGCCCGACGGGCTTGAACCCACAAACCGTGAGACCTTGACCTGGAGCTGAAGTCGGATGCTTAACCGACTGAGCCACTCAGGTGCCCCTAACGTTCCTTTATTGAGGCTTATTTGTGTATACATAACACATTCACACGGTTCAAAATTCCAGAAGGTAGGAGAGAGCATGCAGGGACGTGTCCCTTTCCCACTCCTGCCCCGCCGTCCAATAATTTCTAGAGGGCAGCCTGGTTTCTGTGCATCCTACCAGCGATAGTTTATGACTTTATTCAGTCTAAGCCAACATGGACACGTGGGCACCTGCTGTGTCCCACCTTCATTATACAAATGCTGGCCCACCCCACGCATGCTTCTGTGACCAGCTTTGTCTTCACTTCGAGGCCCCTGCATATTCCATTAGAGAGAGCCCTCCCCGGTGCGCGTTCGTGGCTCAGTCGGTTAAGCGTCCGACTTCAGCTCGGGTCATGATCTCGCGGTCTGTGGGTTCAAGCCTCGCGTCGGGCTCTGTGCTGACGGCTCGGAGCCTGGAGCCTGCTTCGGGAGTCTGTGTCTTCCTCTCGCTCTGCCCCTCCCCGCCGCCCTCTCTCTCTCCCCCTCCCCCACAAAAAGAATGAATGACTGAATGAGTGAGTGTATCATGGGGTGTGTGGAGAAGAAATGTTGCCCGCCCCTTTGATGGCCTGCGGCCCTCCCAGCCCAGCTAGAAAACTCTGACCCTGGACCCTCAGTGAACAAACGGGGCAGTGTCAGAACCAGACTGGGATAACCCTGCTACCCTGAACCCTGACCTTTGACCCCTTTGTGGTGTGACAAGGCCCCAACCCACCCTGGCCTCCCCAACGTGACCAGTTTCCGTGAAGAGATGACCCCGGGGGGTCCTGCTCCCAGTGGCCCGTGAGTTCCGGGGTGAGGCCTCCAGCCATCCAGAAGTTCGCGCAGGGGACCCTCTCCCCACCTGCTGCGCCTGCCTCTGGACCTTGGCAGAATCCCTGCCTTTCCCTAAGCCTGAAGATTAGGAGGTGAGGTGGGGGGGCCAGAGATACTCCTCGAGTGAAGGGGCCAAAGAGGAAATACATCTCTGCGTCTTCAGTTTTCTTCCACACCACACTTCTCCCTCCCTGACCAACCTCTGCCTCCAGGGCCTGGGGCCCAGCGGATGTTCTGTTATGAGGAAGGGGCCTGGGGGGCACTTCCTCTTGCCCTCCCTGCTGCTGCCACCTCCGACCCTAACCTCGTGCCCGGCGCCTGGCTCAGGCTGGGCCGCAAGGGCCCCCTGGTCTGGTCCTACCTGCAGCTGGCAGTTTCGGGGGCCGCCACGGCATACTTCGGTTCCTTCGGTGCCTACTGTGTCTTCCGGTTCCTGATGGGCATGACCTTCTCCAGCATCATCCTCAACTCCCTCTCCCTGGGTGAGTCCGGCCGAGGAGGGGCCTGGCGGGGAGGGGGGCTCGTGGAAGGGGGGATGGCCGCCCTCTTAGTGCAGTCTTTCCTGTTGTGTTGTGTTGGGAGTCTCACCCAGTAACCTCCACTCAGAACTCCCAGCCCGGGGTTCTTGGGTGACCTGGGCTCTCAACCATGGCCCTGTCAGCAGTGAGCTGTGGACCCGGGGTTTCGATTTGCCCACCTGTATGCTGAGAGGGTTGAATTATTTCCTGTGTGAATAAGTCAACGATAACCACTTAGTAAGCGCCTACTGTATGCCAGACTCGTTGTGGGCTCAGGGCGGGGACCCAGAAGGGAGGTGAGATACAGTGGCCCCCAAGGCTGCGGGGCTTATGTGGCTCCAAAGGGGCAGGATTCACCCAGGCCGCAAAGGTGATGACTCCACAGCGCCATGGTGGAGACCTTACGCCCTGGAAGCCAAGTGGGAACGTTCTCCGCCCCCCCACCCAGGCCTAAGTAACAGGGTACGTCCTCAGTCCAGGCTGGTTTCAGGCAGCTCCCGGTGGCTCTGGCCCGGTGCACTGTCAGGCAGCAGGAAACCCACGGTGGATGCAGGCTAGCTGATGACTTAGTTTGCTCCCGGGACAGGCTCAGGGAGGGTCTGAGGGATCCAGACGGCTGCCAAAGACGGAATGGATCTTTTGTTTCAGGGGTGGGGGAGATCTTGGGGCTGGAGAACCGGGAGGTGCCAGGCCGGCGCACCTGACAGCCCCCCTCCCTGAATCAGGACATCGAAGGTTGCACGAGCTCACTCAGGATCCCAGCAAATCCCAGCCCACTCGCCTCAGCCTTCGGGATGGGGTGTCAAGCCACAGCCCGTGGGATCTGAAGGCAGGAATGGACATGCATGGCCCATCTCATGCTAGAATCGCCTCTATGACACACACACACCCCTACATGCACATGCACCCATATACACACACCCCTCCCCACACACATACATGCACCGCTGCGTACCTGATGCTCCTCTAAGCACCAGAGACGGAGCAACGAACAAGGCAGATCTCTGCTCCCGTGGAGCCCGTGCTCTTGTGCAGGAAGAAAGATAGAAACACAAATAAGTAGATTATATAGTATGTTGGAAAGTGATAAGTGCTACAGGAGAAAACTAAAGCCCACAAAGGAAATAAGCTTGGGTGGGGGGCAGAGGGAGGGGGCAGTGGCCAGGGAAAGTCCTCACTGAGAGGGGTCACTGAGTAAAGCTCGCAGGAGGGAGGGAGGGCATCTGCCGCTATCTGGGGGGAAGGACATTCCAGGCAAAGACCCCGAGGGGTGTGTGTTTCTAGTGGTTTCCAGAGGAGGGGGTCCTTGTGGCTGGAGCAGAGCACGGGGCGGGGAGGGGGCAGGGGAGTGGTGATGGATGAGGTCAGGGAGTTGGGGGACAGACCCTTAGGCCCTGTGGCCATTTACAAGACTTTGGCTTTGACTCTGAGCAAGACGGGGGCCACTCGAGGATCCCGAGCTGCGGAGAGGATCTGGCTTAGCATTTGCCAGGATCCCCGTGGGGGCCAGTTCCGGGGCTCCCGTGCCGGTCAGCAGGCTGCAGCCGGGCTTGGGCCAGGGGGTAGCAGGAGGAAGCAGGAGGGGTTCTGCTAGATTCTGCCCGTGGAAGCAACAGGATTTGCTGATGGCCTGGACACACGATGGACACAGGAGCTGGCTGCTCACGGGAAGACGTGTCCTCGTTAATCTGTTGTGGTTGCCTTCTGCGAGAGCGTGCATGATTCAACCAGTCCCCCATAGATGGGCTTGTAGGTTGTTCCCAAGTTTTGCTGTTTACAAAACAATCATGTAATTAAGAGCCATTCTATTTCCTTTCCTACCAACCATCTACATCTCTTGCCTGTTTTTTGTTCGTTTGTTTTGCCTTTTCTACCGTTTCCTATTGATTTGTAGGAACCGGTCCAATGTTAGGGAAATTCACCCTCTATCTGTAATTTGAGTTGCAAATTTTTTGTTCCTTTGCTTGTGTTTGCTGACCTTGTGACCTGGCTCATGGTGTTTGTTTGTGTTTGTTTATATTCAGACGTTCCTGTGTTTATAGAGTCAAGTTTTGTTGATCTTCCCTTTGGTTGCTTCTGGGTTTTGTGACTTTCTTAGAAAAGCTTTTCCTGACTCTAGGATTGAAAAAAAAAAAAAATCTGCCGTGATTTTTCCTAACATCCTTGTGGTTTTATTGGTTATGTCTGATTCTTTGGTGCTCCCTGTGTCTCAGCAGATCTCGGGAAAAATTTCAGGTGTCCACAGAGTCCCTATAAAGGGCACAGGTGAATGAGACAACCCCGTGGGCTATGAGTCCCACTGATCCTGTCCTGCTTTTCTCTGCAGTCGTGGAGTGGATGCCCACCCGGGGCCGGACCGTGGCGGGGGTCTTGCTGGGGTACTCCTTTACCTTGGGTCAGCTCATCCTGGCCGGAGTGGCATACGTGATCCGCCCCTGGCGGTGGCTACAGTTTGCTGTCTCTGTTCCTTTCCTCATCTTCTTCCTCTATTCTTGGTATGTCCTGACAGAGAGGGGCGTGGGGCGTGGGGCGGATGACAAGTTTGGGGTATGCAGTGACCCATGAAAGAGGGTCGATGCCTGTGGAGGCCGTGGGCTCACAGGTACGGCCCGTGGCTTATCGGGAAGCTCCAATAAAATCCCTTACACTAGCGTGGGGCTCCAGAATATTACAGCGGTTTTGCCTCATCAGTTCCTTTGCAACTCACAACCAGTGGGGAACCGAGGCGCAGCCCAGGGAGGGCCCGTGTCTCGTTTAAGCTACACACCAGCGTCAGAACCAGATTCAAAACTGGACGTGTGGAAGTTACTAGATGCCCTTCAGGGATTCCCTGTCTGGTGCGCGCTGAAAAAGGCAAGCTGGCATGTCCCAGTCTTCCGGATTCAGCAGGCAGCAGGAGAGGTCACCTTTCCGGGGTCCGAAGGAAGGGGAACGAAGGTGTACTCGGGTCTGGAGGCTGGGTTCCGCTCAACGCTGCCATTCTTCGTCCTTCTTTCGGTCACAGGTGGCTGCCAGAGTCATCCCGATGGCTTCTGCTCCATGGCAAGTCCCAGCTAGCTGTGGAGAACCTTCGGAAGGTGGCTGTTATGAATGGGAGAATGGAGGAAGGGGAAAGGCTGACCAAAGAGGTGGGCAGCAAGGGTACAAGGAAGAGGAGGAACCATTTCCAATCTTGCTGGTGGCCGGCCTCAAGATGTGCCAGCATTTAGTAGCTTCCCAGGACTCGTCCACCATCCAGGTGGAGAGGCGGCAGAATGAGCAGAGTAGGATCAGTTCCAGTCTGGCCAAAACATTTGCCATCGAACGGCTGTGTGATCCGGGATAAATAATTTAACTGCTTTGTTGATCAGGCCATCCATCTATGCAATGGAGGGGCGGGGGGACCCCATTCCCATCGACGCCTGGCTGAAACTTAAATACAATAACAAAATAAAATGAAAACATTAACATAGAAATCATAAAATGAAATTATCGCAGAATCAATAATAGAAGTACCATGTGTTACAAATACCCTCATAAGATAATTACCATTTATAAGACAGTCACCAGTTATTATAAATTAAGTACCATTTATCGAGCCCCGTGCTAGGCACCATGCTAAGGTACATAATTTCATTTATTTATTTACCTATTTAATCTGAGAGAGAGAGAGCACACGAGTGGGGGAAAGAGGCAGAGGGAGAGAGAGAGAATCTTCAGCAGGCTTGATCCACCCTCCTTTGACCGTGACCTGATCAAGAGTCCGACACTCAACCCACTGAGCCACCCAGGTGCCCCCATAATCTCATTTAATTGTCACTGTAGCAGATAAGGAAACTGAAGTTTGAATGCCTCACGTCATTTGCCTAAGAACACACGGTGGCGAGTGGCAGAGCCACGTGAAACCCCTACCCCTGACCACTGGCCAAGCCAATCTCAGATCCTCTACCAGAAGTGAGGCATGAGGCTCTCTCTTGAACCACAGGTGGCTATTTCAGCCTAAGCAGCAGGCAGCTCAGGAGTCTTGGAACTCGCATGAGAGCCTCTGTTTCATTCTAAAGCTTGGGACACAATCTGTCGAGGGCCATTGGTCTCAGGACAGAGAGGGGACTAGAAACAGCCATCTTGCCAGAGAACTCAACCTTGACCTTCCTCTCCACAGATGAAGGGACTCCTGGCAGGAAGATAGGATCCCAGATCCTTCCCTTCTGCTGATCAACCTTTCCTTGCCCAGGTGGTGAGCTCCTACATCCAGAGTGAAATAGCAAGTGTCTGCCCCTCCAACTCAGTCTTGGACCTCTTCCGAACCCCGGCCATCCGAAAGATCACGTGCTGTCTCATGGTGGTCTGGTAGGTGATGCGCTCAAGCCCAAGTCTTTGACCTGAGGCCGGGACATGCCTTTTATTCCCACTTCCAAAGTCTGTTCTTAAATACTCTTAAATTTTTTTTTTCAACGTTTATTTATTTTTGGGACAGAGAGAGACAGAGCATGAACGGGGGAGGGTCAGAGAGAGAGGGAGGCACAGAATCGGAAACAGGCTCCAGGCTCTGAGCCATCAGCCCAGAGCCTGACGCGGGGCTCGAACTCACGGACCGCGAGATCGTGACCTGGCTGAAGTCGGATGCTTAACCGACTGCGCCACCCAGGCGCCCCTGTTCTTAAATACTCTTAACGGAACAGGCAGGTGAGCCTTGTGAATTCAATCTTGTTTCATACTCTTTCTCTAGGGTCCTCTGACCCTCTGCTGGGTGCTGACATGTGGTCATAGATGAGACATCTGGGCTGACCTAGGGACCCCAAATCTGGGCAGTGGGTCTCACCTTGGTGGAGGGCCACCTGTTGAAATCACCCACACAGCTTTTCCCAAATGCGCCTTGTCCCATCCTGATATGCCCTTGGGGCTCTCCAGGAGATTCTGGGAAGTGTCCCACTCTAGAAAAACACTTGTGGGTCCAGAAGGGGACAGACAGGGAAACAATGTCTATGAGGTATGACAAGCGTCCTTATGACAGTTCTCTTGGCTGGGGATGCTGAGTGCTTCATGCAGGAAATGGCATTTAGGGGTATTTCACAAAATGGCTGTGGAGTTTGCCACATGAGCAGGAAGAAAGTCACAGCAGCTGTGTAGATGGGCCTGAAGATGTAAAAAGGATAAAAATACAGGGACGCCTGGGTGGCTCCGTCGGTTAAGCGTCTGACTTTGGCTCAGGTCATGATCTCGCGGTTGACGAGTTCAAGCCCCACATTGGGCTCTGTGCTGCCAGCTCAGAGCCTGGAGCCAGCCTCAGACTCTGTGTCTCCCTTTCTCTCTTCCTCTCCCCTGCTCGTGCTTTGTCTCTCTCTCTCTCTCTCTCTCTCTCTCAAAAATGAATTAACATTAAAAAAAAGTTTCTTTTAATGGGTAAAAATACAAAAGCGATCCGTTCCCCTTGGCACAGACTGGAAGCTGGCAAATCCTCAGATAAGGAGCTGATTTAAAAAACGGGAGGGCACCATTGTCATTTCACTTGACAGAATAATAGTAAGTGTGAAGTAGGGAACACAGGCTATGAATGACCTGTTCTCTGGAGCAGAACCAGCCCTTGGGTTTAGTGGGAACCAGCCAGGCAGTGATAGAAGACAGACTCCCTGGGTGACCTTGAACAAGCCAGCCAGCCTCCTGGTGCCGCAATTTTCTACTTAGATACCTACCCCTAAGGTCCTTTTGAGCACTAAACGTTTGGGGGCGCCTGGGTGGTTCAGTTGGCTGAGCGTCTGACTTCAGCTCAGGTCACGATCTCGCGGTTCACGAGTTCGAGCCCCGCATCAGGCTCGCTGCCGTCAGCCTGTCGGCACAGAGCCCGCTTTGGATCCTCCGTCCCCCTCTCTCTGCTCCTTCCCTGCTTGCGCTCTCCCAAAACTAAATAAGTGTTTAAAAAAAAGAGAGAGAGAGTGAGAGAGAGAACACAACTTTTGGACACGTAACCCCACACCTGGCTGGGGTTTAAGCGCTCAGGTAGAGTCTATTCTCTGATTTAAGTCTGGAACTGTATCTGCTGTGCATTGGAAATGTGGAATGGTCCACCACTCTGGACCTTGAGAGGGCTTCTGCCCCAACAGTGTTGCCCGTGGGGCAGTTCTGGCTCTGGGCAGCCAGAGAACTCCTCGGAACCCAAGTCAGGGAAGGGACGCCCTACCGCGGTCACCCAGCTGACCCAGGCTTTCCCCTGGCCTGCGAGCTTCCAACTTTCCTGTCTTCTTCCCACTGGGAAGAAACATCATAAATTAAAAATTCCAGGGTGGGCGTGCCTGGGTGGCTCAGTCAGTTAAGCGTCCAGCTCTTGATCTCAGGGTCGTGAGTTCAAGTCCCACGTGGGACTCCACTCTGGGTGTGAAGCCTACTTAAAAAACCAAAAAACAAAGAAACAAAAAAGTTCCAGGGTTGAAAGTCCCCTCTTGGATCCCTCTGGGAAGAATAAGCTAAGGCCCATTTCTGTTAAAAGGGAGGAACTTGGACAGCTAGTGACTGGGCCGCCCAGACGGTTTTTCTGTCAACGGGTGGGGAGGTTCGGGAGGAAGGTTAAGTGCTGGGAACTGGTGGACTTTCACAAACTTCTGTTGTAAATGCTTTCTGTTAACTTGCATTTCTCTTTCTTCGCTGGCTTTTTTCCTAGATAAAAAGTACGGCGTACTCATTGAGAAAAATATTTTCTTTTCAAACAGCTCAGAAACATACAGGCAGTACAGTGTGTTAGTTAAGAGTCAGGACTCAACTGTACTTCGATTAAAAAAATAAAACAAAAACAAAAGAGGCGGGACTTGGAACCCGATCGCTTGGATTAGAATCTCAACTCTTGCCACTTACTGTCTGTGTGATCTTGGGCGAGTTACTTAGCCTCTCTGTGCCTCAGTTTCCCCATATGTAACATTGATGTCATAAAAGTACCTACCACATAGGTTGCTTGTGAAGATTAGAATTAAAAAAAAAATTTTAAGATGTTTTATTTACTTTCGAGAGAGAGAGAGAGAGAGAGAGCATGAGAGGGGGAGGGGGCAGAGAGAGAGAGGGAGACACAGAATCAGAAGCAGGCTCCAGGCTCCGAGTCGTCAGCACAGAGCCCGACGCGGGGCTTGAACCCACTAAATGTGAGATCGTGACCTGAGCTGAAGTCGGATGCTTAACCGACTGAGCCACCCAGGCACCCGTGCTGCTTACTTTTAATAACTTAATCACATATGTAAATATTTGTACAGTGTTGTATGAATCCAGCTCATGGCACATAGCAGCTTTGCAATACTTTTTGTAAATTTTTACTTAAATTCTAGTTAGTTCACATACAGCGCGATATTGGTTTCCGAGGTAGAATTTGGTGATTCATTACTTACATACAATACCCAGTGCTCATCATAACAAGTGGCCTCCTTAATGCCCATCACCCATCTAGCCCATCCCCCACCCACCTCCCTCCATCAACCCTCAGTTTGTTCTCTATTGTTAAGAGTCTCTTTTGGTCTCTCTCTCTCTCTTTTAATGTTGATTTCTTTATTTTTGAGAGAGCGTGTGCACAAGCAGGGGAGGGGCAGAGAGAGGGAGACACAGAATCCGAAGCAGGCTCCAGGCTCCGAGCTGTCAGCACACAGCCCGACGCGGGGCTTGAACTCACAAACTGTGAGATCATGACCTGAGCCACAGTCAGATGCGTAACCGACTGAGCCACCCAGACGCCCCCAGCGTGTACTCTTTTGCAACGAGTTTCTCTTGTTCAAGATCATGTTTGTGAGGCACCTCCAGGTTGCAGGATATAACTTAGTTATTTTCCTTGTGTAACATTCCACTGTATGAATATACTACTTGTGGGGGGCTGAATAACGACCCCCCCCAAAGGCATCTAATCTAACTTTTCAAAGTTTCTGTGAATATAAACTTTTTCCAAAATGTAAAAAAAAAACCAACATCCGACAAAAACTCTACCCAGAATATAAATATGTATTTATATTTATTTCATCATATGTTCTCTCTGTATATAGTTAACTGATGAGTAGTATCGTTCCCTGTCCTAATCCCAGGAGACTGTGAGTGTTACTTTACGTGATATGAGATAAGAGAAAGTGTATAAATTGGTTTCTGCCCCCAGTTCCTCCCACAGAACTCCTAAACCCCTCATCATTTCTTAAGTGATAAGATGACTAGGAGGCAAGTAAGAATTCTGTCTTTGTTTTGGGCCCCTCCTCTTCCTGTTGACGTCATAGCCTCATGTGACCCAGTCAAGAGTTTTCTAGGTTCACCATCTTTGATGACACAGGATGTGGTGGTGGCAGGGGCCACGAGGAGAAAAATATCATTTGGGGTTGTCGGACTCTAGACTGGTTTCACATAAGGGAGCAGGGATGAGGCCTTTGTCTTCCCCACCCTTGGAAAGTCATTCTTACCCCAAGATGAAAATAGGGCACATGATAAAGAGCAAACTGTTTTGGTCGGAGGGGGACAGAGATACTGAGCTGCTAGATGGGGGCTCCTGGGCGACTCAGCCGGTTATGCGTCCGACTCTTGATTTCAGTTCAGATCGTGATCTCACAGTGTGTGAGTTCGCGCCCCGCATCGGGCTCTGCACCGACAGCGCGGAGCCTGCTTGGGATTCTCTCTCTCTCTCTGCCCCTCTCCCGCTCTCTCTCTCCAAATAAATAAACTTAAAAAAAAAAAATAAAAGCTGCTAGACAGCCAGGCTCCATCCATGACCCCTCCCTGAAATACGACAGCCTTTCCGAAATGCCATGGGGGGGGGGGGTGGGGTATGGCCTTGCAGCAGACCCCTGGGCAGAGGAGGGGAGATGAGGAGAGGGGTGGAAAGTGAGAGTCCAGGGCTTTTTCCATGAGAGTCTTTGTCCTCATCTGAGCCCTTCCCTGCTGTCCTTGGGGTCCAGGTTGCCCCACATTCCTGCCAAAACCATGCCAGAAAGGAGGCCAGGGGCTCTGGAGGCCTTACTAGGAAGGGAGCCCCAGTGTCCGCTCAGGAGACGGCAAGGCAGGGAAACACGAAGGATAATTGTGTTGTGTTTGGATAACGTGACAAAGCTGTTTCCACGATGGGGAGAGGAGCGCGGTTTCCTTCCCAGAATGCCTGTCTCCCCACCAGACCGGAAGTCCCGGGAAGGCAGGCCGCGTCCATCTTGTTCACGGCCGTGTGCCCGGACGTGGCGGAACATTTATTTCCATGCTGTGAAGGAAGAAAGGCAGGAACATGTACACCGGAGAGAACGAGGAAGGGGGAAGAAGACAGAGAACTACCAGACAGAGGGGGAGGGAGAGCATGAGGGCTCAGCGTCCGGGAAGCCGAGGCAAGAGGAGCCCACCCAAAGGGAAGGGTGGGCGGAGGACGGGGTGGGGACAGAAGGACATCGAGAGGGGGTCCGAGCAATGCCCCTGATGTCCAGGCAGGTAAGGAGACTGATGAGGCAGAATTGGTCTTTCCAAGGTCAAAGTATCTACGCTAAAGCAAACAGGGACGCCTGGGTGGCCCGGTCGGTTAAGTGTCCGACTTCGGCTCAGGTCATGATCTCGTGGTCAGTGAGTTCGAGCCCCGCGTGGGGCTCTGTGCTGACAGCTCAGAGCCCAGAGCCTGCTTTGGATTCTGTCTCCTTCTCTCTCTGTCCCACCCCCGCTCACGCTCTGTTCTGTCCCTCAAAAATGAATAAACGTTAAAAAAATAAATAAACAAATAAATAAATCATAAAGCATAGCAAACAAAGCCTACATCACGCTGCCTTCCCCTCAGTATTAAGAGCCACAGGGTGTTTTATCCTGGGTTTGTTTGCTTTCCAGAGTGTTCAAAATAATATGTTGGCGGCCTTGCCTCTCAGTTCCACCTGGGAGGAGAAATCAGACCCGGATTTCCCGTGGACTCCCTCAGACCTGCCCAACAGGAATTACCGTGTCACCTTTCCAGAAGCGTCTTTGCTTTTTCTCCACCTCCCCTGACTCCTGTGGCCGGGGTGGGTGGGAGGGATGGTAGGCGTTTCTCCGTCGGGGGAAGGGGGCAGATGCCAGGCCCGCTTGAGGAGAGCCCACCGCCGGATTCTGTTTTCCCACCTCCCCTCCCCATACGCTCCTGAGGCCGCGTCAGCATGTGGCCCGCCGGAAGCAAAACCAGGCCGACCCGCAGGGCTTCATGAGGGTCGTCAACCCCAAGCCCCCTTCCTCCGGACCTTGTTTTGTTTCGCTTTTCGTAAGTGTGGTAAAATACACGTAACAAAATTCAGCATGTTGGCCCTTTGTGGGTGTGCAGTTCAGCACTGCTGTGTTCCAGAACCCTCCTCACCTTGCAACACTGAAACTCTGTTTTAACCCATTAAACAAGCGTTGCTCTCCCTCCACCCGGCCCCTGGCAACCGCCGTTCTCCTTTCTGTCTCTACTTTAGGCTGTCTCTACTTTTGTCTCCTTTGGGGACCTCGGGGAAGCGGAAACGTACAGTATTTATCTTTTTGTGACTGTTTTATTTCACCTCAAGCTTCATCCATGTTGGAGCACGTGTCAGAATTTACTCCCTTTTTATTTTTTGTGAGAGAGAGAGTG